AAAAAAATAGTTTATTACTCTAAGCAAAAACTATTGTACAGCATGAAAAAATGAACTCAATTCAACTATGAAAAACCTTATCATTACAGGGTTGAGACGAACACTTCTCAGCAAAAAAAGAGGTCACATTTCTGAGCAAATTAAGTGAACAAAAGATGGCTTTTGTAGGAAGAAGCACCAGTACTATTTGAAGGGAAGTGAAAGGACTTACAATACAGAGGTAAACAATTGGAAGGAGATACCGTCACAAAAATCGCACCATTTGAGGACATTCTATGTACAAATTATGAGAATGGAGATGTATTTTGGGCTGCTTGTCTATCGAAATTTTTAGTTTCATCAACAAACAGGATGAGCATGGCGTAATCAAAGCTCTGAAGCATAAGGAGAATTCCAATCTCTGTCAAAAATGGCCTGCAACTGATGAACAATGCCACCATCGCCATGACTCGTCATAGCCACTCCTACACCTGCTGTGTTAATGAAGTAATCTCCGGCCCAATTGGACGTCCCTGACATTCACAACATTTGAAAATCAAATCTTTCGAAAATAGGACTTCGATGAAGTCTCTTTTGAAAGCTTTGCTTATGTTCAACTTACCAACATAAGCTGCCTTATCAGTTACCATATACTTATTGTGATTTACTCGAGCAAATGGAATTTTTTGCTGCTCTTCCGTCGCAGGGACTGTGAATAGTTTCTAGAAGGTCAAGATTCGAAAAATGGCAGAACGGTTTAAAGTATAAGGAAAAAATGTGGAAAGCAGATAATTCTTCACTGACCACTTCAATGCCTCCTTTACCATGCCTAGTCCTCGGCAAAGCATCATTGATGGCAACGAGGCTTTTCAGAAACACAAACTCCTGAGGTCTTGAATGGCTCCAATTACTAACAAGTAGTCTAACCGAAACACCTCGGAAAGCAGCAGCGCGAATGGCATCATCGATGACAGGCCAATAACTGGAATTAAATATAAATAAGCAGAATTACCCTATTAAGGTAACGTGGAACTTGAAATACCTGTCATTAGTACCCATGTAGAGAGTTTGGGGTATTAAATCCATAACAGATACACACACTGAACGGCTTGCAGAGGAAATCAAGGATATGATAGTTTTCAGATCATGTTCGCGTTTCTTTGGGTTAAAAGGTGCAGGAGAACTCTGGGAAAAGCGTTAAATCATCTTGTCTGTGCTGATTTCATCGAACTTACCGATATGAAAACATCAGTTTGAATTCCATCCCAGACCATTTCCATTGGAGAAAGAATGTTATATGCTGTATCATATGTAGCTGGCCATGTAACCGGAATCTCAGCTTCTTTCTGAAATTAATATTCAGCATTAATATAGTGATAACGCATATCAAATAGTCACCGACCTTCCCAAGATGCCAATACACTTTGAAAATGCGATGTAAATCTTCAGCCAAGCATGGACAGT